GGGTCATGACCTTGCTGCTCTCTGTTTCTGCTTGCAGAACAAGGTGAAGGAAATGAAAGCAGCTGGCTGCGATGTGGACTTGGAAGTGTCAGACAACGCTTTGCTTGCTCTGCAAGGTAAATATTATGTACCTGTGATAACTGCCCATACTGTGGGAAGCAGCAGACAAAATGCGCAGGCATTTGCCTTAAGGGAATGCACAGAACTGCTGCTTAATTGCTTGGATACAGTAGCATCTCCCAGACCAATCAATAGCCTTACTGTTGATCTTCCTGGGACAGCTAATCCCATTGTCCAAAGCAGGGGTCAGCAACCTTTTCCAGTGTGGGCCGGTCCACCGTCCCTCAGACCATGAAAAAATAAAATAAGATGAACGAATTCCTGTGCCCCACAAACAACCCCAGAGATGCATTTTAAATAAAAGGACACATTCTACTCATGTAAAAACATGCTGATTTCTGGACCGTCTGCGGGCCAGATTTAGAAGGCGATTTGGCCGCATCCGGCCCCTGGGCCTTAGGTTGCCTACCCCTCATCCAAAGCCTTCCCCACTTCTACCCCACTTTTATTTTATTTTTTTGCATCTTTAGGCTCATTGGGGCATTGCAAGGCCAGCTTGTTGCTAGCTGGTGTGGTACTGACTTGCCTAGGGCCTTCGAATATGACAAACCCACTTTCCCCTGTGCTGCTCTGCACCCATAAGAGCCCAAGGGCCCTGCTACATCTGATGGTCCATCTCATCCAACACCCTGTTCTTACCAGTGGCCCAGCCCAACAGGTTAGGATGGCAATAGCCCTTTTCTTTGTCCCCAGCATCTGATACTCAGAGGGGAGAGGACTGGCCCTATCATTAGGCACAGTGAGGCAGCTTTCCCAGCAAGCAGATCCTGTGAGGGCAAGGAGCAACAGCAAGGGGTTAAATGGCAGAGTTGTATAGGTACACCAGGACAAGATAGAGCCCTTCTGCCATTCCATGTGGGGATGGACTCAGGGACCACCTGATTCCTTGTATCTCTGTCCAGTCCCTAAGGTCTTTAGGGAGTGGGGTGTTACCTTGTCCTTCACCTCAGGCAGCAAGATATCTTGAGCTGGTCCTGGAAGGAGTGTGGACTGTTACATTTACCTGTTGTGGCTGTTAATGGTAGATCACTCGTCCATGAGTTTGCCCTAGCCTTTTTAGACACTAAGCTTGTGCCACATCATGTGGCAGTGAATTCGATCCTACTGCCACGGTGGCAATGATGTGCCTTGACTGAGATCAGCAAGGGCTGAGCCCACTTCATTCAGCTAGAAATGCCCAATTCCTTCCGCCATCATTTAACTGGGACTTATTGAACCTCCTTTTTGGGGGAGGGAGCCTGATGAACTAACACCTCTTCAAGCTCATAGCCATTTCCCTTCTTCCTTCTACCAGGTCCTGCCATGGCCCGAGTGCTACAGGCTGGGGTGTCAGACAGCCTGGCTAAGCTGCCCTTCATGACCAGTGCAGTGATGAGTGTCTTTGGAGTGCCAGGCTGCAGGGTCACCCGCTGTGGCTACACAGGCGAGGATGGTGTAGAGGTACACGGTCAGGGAATGGGACGCGGGTGGTTCTGTGGTCTAAACCACTGAGCCTCTTGGGCTTGCCAACCAGAAGGTTGGTGGTTTGAATCCTCATGACAGGGTGAGCTCCCATTGCTCTGTCCCAGTTCCTGCCAACCTAGCAGTTCAAAAGCAGACCAGTGCAAGTAGATAAATAGGTACCGCTGTGGCGGGAAGGTAAACAGCGTTTCCGTGCGCTCTGGTTTCCGTCACAGTGTCCCATTGTGCCAGAAGCAGTCATGCTGGCCACATGATCCAGAAAGCTGTTTGTGGACCAACACTGGCTCCTTCGGCCTGAAAGCGAGATGTGCGCCACAACCCCATAGTCACATTTGACTGGACTTAACTGTCCAGGGGTCCTTTACCTTTACATGGTCAGGGCTCGGCTCAGCTAACTAAAAAGTGGTCGGAGGAGCAGGAGCACTGATGTTGTGCACTGAGAAGCGAGAAGCTATTTCAGGCTGGGAGGGCAGCGAATTGATGAAGAAGATTATTGAATCAGGTTGGCTTGGGCGAGAAGGGTGTCAGGCAAGCCTGGACATAGCCTCAGATTGAGCTAGAGTGAAGGATTGGGCCAGGTGACCAGAAGTTGGGAGCGGGGGTGGGGGGGGAAGGGTGGCAAAAATCACACTGACCAAATCACTGTGCTCCTCTGTACCCAGATCTCTGTGCCTGCAAGCCGAGCTGTGGAGCTGGCTGAGCTGCTGCTTAAGGACTCCACTGTGTGGCTGGCAGGACTCGCAGCCCGGGACAGTTTGCGCTTGGAGGCAGGTCTGTGTCTGTATGGGAACGACATTGATGAGAGCACAACCCCTGTGGAAGCCAGTCTGATATGGACCCTTGGTAGGTGCTAGCTGCAATTCTGGATTTCTCTCCCTGCCATGCTTGCTTACCCATTGACATTCCTGGCCAATATCAAATAGGCAAAAAGTCACCCATTCTTGCACCCCAGACCAGAGTAGACTGGGCATGGAACAAGAGTGGTTTTTTGGCAATGGGAGAGAAGCTGCACTAGGCCTTCAGTGGTGATGGGACACTATGTGGTGAGGGTAATTTGGACCACAGGCGGTCGACATCTTCTTCTGTTGGCCTTAACAGGACACCTTATTTCCAATTGCTTCTCAGGGAAACGCCGCCGTGCTGCCATGGATTTCCCCGGTGCATCAATCATACTGGCCCAAATCAAAGAGAAGCCCAAAAGGAAACGTGTGGGGCTGACTTCTTCAGGGCCTCCCATCCGGCAGCACATGCCCATTCTCAGCCCAGAGGGCAAGGCCATTGGTAGGTTCTCCAAGCTTCTCTGAGTACTGTCTAGGAAGATGACACATCAGCCCTCTGCTATAATAAGCACCCCAATAAGCACGTAATACTTGCTGTGCTTGGTCATACTGCAGGCAATGGTGTTCGGTGCACAGCTTTGTTTAGAACTAGCAGCCTTGTACCCAGTGTTGCTCATGAATTCTTGGAAACAAAACCAGTGCAAGTTTTGAAAGGCTGCCCACCATTTGCTTCAAAATTGTGTCCATTTATATATGAACATGGATGAAAACCTGTTCCTTAATCTCTCAAACCACCATGCCAAATTTGGGTAAGGTGTATTGAGAAGTGTCCAAAGGAATAGGGGACAAAGCTTTCAAAATATATAGTGGATTTGCTTCTATTAACTCCCTGCCCCTTTCAGGTGGCAGAGTAGTACATTCTAGTAAGTGAGCCTCATTGAAGATTATTGCAGAATGCAGCCTTTTAGAGGTGTTCTATTGGAACTGCATATAGAAAGCAGCAACAAACCTTCTGGCGGTATATGCTCTCCATAGCTTGTTTGCATTCTTCTTGTCTTTAGTGGATCATTAAAGGGCCATGCGTGTTAATTGCTCTTAGGGCCATTGGTGTGTGTAGAAAACTAGGCTCTCCACCCTACTTATAGAAATTAGGAAGAAGTTGCATTTTTGGCAGAAATTTTTATTGATCATTTAATGCAGAAATTGTATGCTTTTGATAAGTGCTCTGTCCATTCCTCCATGCGCTAGGTGAGGTCACCAGTGGCTGCCCTTCCCCCTGTCTGCAGAAGAACATCGCCATGGGATACGTGGAGAGTGACTACAGCAAACTGAGCACAGCCCTCACTGTAGAAGTGAGGAAGAAGAGCTGCCCTGCTCTAGTGACCAAGATGCCCTTTGTAGCCACCAATTACTATACAGTGAAATAGGCTGCTGCTGGCATAGGCTTTCAGTTTTGTATTCTGGCCTGTCTATAAAGGGGCCCTGAATTCCATTAGGGCTCTGCCACAAAGGTGATTACTGAAAAGAAAACAGCCCTAAAAAGAGAGAAACTATTTCAGGGGATGTTGGGGACATTAACAACCGAAGAGGCAGGCAACTGAGCAAGACCTGACGACATGCTCCAGTCTCATCTGCCTCTTGGCCTATTGCTAAAAGCAGAAAGATCCCAATGACTTGATCTCCAGAACTCCACCCACCCCCTTTTGCATTTATCCCCAAATATTAAAAAGTCCTTGAATTTTCTCCTGACCTTTTCAATCTGCTCCTTTTCTTGAAATGGTCTGATGCATGCTCAGCTAGAAGCAGGAAGAAGACCCTTACATTGCAACAAAAGTAAAGAACAAGCTTCTTGGTTTATTCCTTCTATTTCCCATACGTAGGCTCAGCACATTCATCTTACCAGTTTGGTAAATATCCTCCCTGTAGTGTAGGGGAAGAAAGATGTACTTGCTACTTCTCAAAAAAGAGAAATCATGCCCTGATGTGGGCTTCTCCTTCCAAATAATGTTTATATACCAATGAATAGTTAGCCAAAGGCCTGCTCTTCTTACTATTTTTCTGGAGGGGGCATATTTAAATAGTGTTTCAGCTTGAGCAAACCCCTTTGTTTTCTTACTGCCATCTAGCCTAGAAGATTCAGAACTACATTTGAAGGAACCATTTTTTACTTTGGATGCCGAAGACACTAATATTGAGAGCTGCTATGAACTGCTCCACATAAATAGAGATAAAATACTTTTTGTGCAGCAGCTATCTTGGGGAATTAGTATGTATTTATATGCATCTCAAGGAAATTTTCAAACAGTACAAAAAAACAACAACTTAGGAGAGGTGTTCCTTTTGCATTGTTTTAAAACCTTGAGTGAAGACATTTTCATCCAACTGAAAAAGCATGTCAAAACAAAAAGATCTTCAGTTGTTTATGGAAAGTACAGATAGCAGGCACCTATCATATTTGAGCAGGAATGCTGTTCAACAGAGGCAGTCACACGGACAGCTTTGCTCTGAGTTACTTCAGAGCAAACTCTGATATTTTGGAACTTTAAAGTATTTTGGTTTAAAGTAAATACAAAAAACCCCTAATCTTCTGCATATGTACACAAGTACACAACAGCTATTGCAATAAGAGTCAAGACTATATTCAATTTTTCCACCACTCTTTTATAACTCATACATTAAACCCATACATTACACACAACTGGGGAATAAGAGGGCAGTGGATGGTAAAATAGAGGGATGCTCAATATCACATCAGCAGCTCCAGCATTACGTAGCTACAGAACACACGCAATCACCTGACTCTTCCAGGGATTGAGCACCAAGTAGTATGATTTTGGAGCAGAACTATTTTAGAACTAGTGAGCTCTAAGATAGTCATTGGCACAGACTGCAAAATCTGACCAGGGGCAAGGAACCAGCAAGGGTTTGAATCGGTCAGACTAAGCAAGTCTCTGTAGCTTTCCAACACAAGATTGGGGATACTTAGCAAAGAGCAATTTAAGCTCAGCTGGAGAAATAATTTCTTCATCAGCCCTGGCGTCTGCCTCTGTTACAAGTTGAGGCCAGTTCAAGGCAAGGGAAATCCAAGCACCACTGCAGAAAGAAACAAGTTCCAGGCCAGCAATGGGTTTGATATTTACATTGAAGAGAGGCAGGCTCAAGGTCAGTCTGCAAAATAACTTGTGGCAGAAGAAGAAGAAGAAATGCAGACAGCTTAATGAAGGGGGGAAACTGCAGCTTCCCAACCTGAGTAGAGCAATCCTGAGACTCAGTGCTTGGTTAAATGGATGGACAGGAACAGTTTTCACAGCACCAGCGTTGACCAGCAGCTCAGGCCACAGGATGAGAGAAAGGGCGACTATAGCTGCTGTCTCCTCAGCACTGAAAAAGCGAGGCCTCTGGGCAGGCAGGCGGACATCAGCATCCTCTATGCTCCTAGAGCAGCAGGAGCTTGGCTTAGTAACCTCTGCCATCACTCCCGATGCGTTTTCATACTCTCATTACTTGAACTCTCCCTAAATGAAAACAAAACAGACCGAAACTTTAAATCATGATTAACAGGGATTATACATCCTGTATTCCTCCAGCATCAGATCCCCATGAGCACCGATTCCATCATCTGGAGGGGCTGGAAGGCAATGGATAAATCAACTCACCACATTGAGAAGTGTGAGGATCCATCTGGTGTCCCTCCATTCTGCCCTCCTGGACCTGGGAAGGAGAAGAGAAAGTTGTTAGTCAGGAAGACTTCTCAACCTGGCAGTCCTTTGACTCTAAGTAGATCAGCTGGTGATCAGTGGCGGCTGCAAATCCCGCTTCCTTTGCAAACACAATTCGAAATCAAAGGAAATGCTGCTGATGTAAACAATACTAAGGTGAAGCAATGGGGTGGCCTGCTATAAGACCCCTTCCTATATTCCTAGACACATGAGAGGATATATAGTTTAATCCTGACAATTAACTGATCATTAGTTTGAAAAGTTTTGACCAAAAAGATTACCAAGAAAAGTATGTAACGGATGAAAATAAAAATTAATGCCAGTCAGTTATTCCAAAACCCTTCCCAAATTAAATGATCTCAGTTTTTGACACGAGAAAGGTTGGATAGTAAAGGTCATTTTTAATATGATTTTTTTTAGTCCAGTTCACACAAACCCTATTAAATTAAAGCAAATAGATTTAAGGTGAATGTCCCATTGAAGGCAGTAGAACTAAATTGGCTTAAATCCAGGCACTGGTTAAACCAGTTAGTGGATTGCAGTCATAAGCTTCTGTGACATTTGTCTTCGACACAAGACTCTTAACTTGGGTGCGAGGAGCAAAACAGATGTTGAAAGAGGTGGAAAACATACTACACAATATTTGCAACATATTGCAAATATTGCAAACATATGTTGCAAATACGGTGTAGTAAGTTTTCTACCTCTTGCTCAAGACATATGCCTAAAAATTAGGGTGCAATATAGCTACTGTTACTTGTTTGGGAGCCACTTTATACTGCAGGTTCCAAAGACAAATCACAGCAGAATACAAACCACACACCATTATTTCACGCAAGAAAAATGGTTAAACAGCTCTTTGTGTCATGATTATGCATCCCAGCAGTTGAGGAGAAGGACAGAAGAAATACTCTTATTCAAGCACCCAGCAGTCTCAGTCATGTATTACAAAAGGAAGGAGAATCTTTCTGGAGGTGTATTTAGGGGATCTGCCTGTTGGGCTTTTTATGGGGCAGGCTTCTCCTTTTGTGCATGGGGGGCAGCTCCCCCCCCCCGGCTATGCCCATGGGGTCCCTGATGTCAGCAGAGAGAAACCCAGGTAAACAATTGCATCTGGGTGCCAGGCACATAGCAAAGTACCTTTCAAAACTTGCCCCCTATCTACTATCTCACCAGGGTCAGTTTAGGACCTGGATGGTATCCAATTACTGTACAATTCTGGAGTCAGTCAGCAGCAGGATATGTAGAATTGGTATTCAATGTGGAACTAGGAACAGTGCCCAGCACGGCTGCTGTTGTGGCCCAACATGACAGGACAAACAGGGCCATCTAAGAGACTTGGACGGTAACAGAATTGGCCAGCAACTAGTTTTAGAAAGGACCACTTCGAAGAGATTAATCCAGATGGGGCCTCTACCGTGTAGAATAGTTGGCTGTTGCAAGTGGTTAAAAGTGGTCTGCCTCCAAGTCCAGTTGCCACGGCTCAGCAAATATGCGCCTGCATCACAACCGGGGCAGCCACTGTTCATCCATAAGGGTTGCATTTGGTTTGGGGACTCGGGCACTGACCCTTAGCAACCTGCAAGGTCGAGGCTTCGAGGGACCCAAGAGAGCCAGGAGAAGAAGTGCGAGGCGTAGCCACGGGGTAGGAAGCGAAAGCGGAGCAGCAACCCAGAGGCAGCTATCCCGGGGCGGGGATTACGCCGAAGCCAGAGGAAGCGCTGGGTGGGTCACGCGAGGTAAACAAAGGCGGAGGCGGCGGCGGCGGCTGCAGCGCCCGCCTCGGAAGGGATCCCTACCTTGCCGGTAGTAGAGGCCCGTGACGGTGTTGCCGTAGACCCGCCAGGCCACCTGGATGCCGAGCAAGCTCACCAGCAGCCAGAGCAGGAGCAGCTGGAAGAGGGCGGCGCGCAAGTCCTGGGCCTCCCAGTCCGACATGAACTCCTGCCAGAGCCAAGTGAAAGCCCGCAGCGCCTTCGTCGGCACCTCCCACTCCGCCGGCCCAGAAGCAGCAGCAGCAGCCGCCGCCGCAGCCACCGCCTCCTCCGCCGTGGCCGCCGCCATCCCACTCGCAAAGGCGGCGGGAGAGGGAGAGGCGCTGCGCCACAAGCCCCGGGGAAACTGTCAGCGGCGCCGCGCGTGCGCCCCAGGGAAAGATCCAGGCCCCGCCCCGCGCGGCTCTCTTCCCGCCTCCAGTTCTCCCTCCCGCCCCGACTGCACCGCTTTTTCCACAGGGCGCGTTTACTCGGGTGCGAGTCCCCGTTATGCTCAATGGGACCTTCTTTCTGGTGCGGATCTGGTTAGGATCTCACCCTTATAACCCGATCCTGTCCTATTTTCCCCGCGAGTAGTTTCATTCTCCCCCCTCCCCCCGCTTTCAAAGAGGTTCAGGTGAAACGGGCGCAGGGCTGAGTTGCACAACTTTCCCGATATATTGTTATTGACTTTTGCTTGCTTGCTTGCGGCATTTGCAAGGCATCACCTTCCAGGCCCGGCGTGAGCTAGCTAGCTAGCTGGCGCGACGAGGGAAGGCAGGTGCTGTATAATCTTAGGAAACACTGCTCGAAAGAAAGCACCACACTACCGTGAAGCAACGCCCCCGCCCTTCTGTGAGAACCTTTTGAAACTTTCCCTGAAATAGCTTCGCCGTTTTTCGTAGCCAGGGGTGACAACTTGAACAAAATATTGTGGGGGCCCAAGATAAACCCCACCCCGCCCCTCATAATGGATCACATGACGCAGCACGCGCACACTACTTGCATTGGAATGCCCATCAATTTTGGTGGGGCGCGGCCCCCTCAAATATTTTATTGTAGGGGCCGAAGCCCCCGCGGCCCCCAGAAGTTGGCTGCTATGTTCGTCGCTGTTTTTGGAGGTCTGCTGCCAGTTAGTGTAGAGAGCAGCACTGAACTATGTCGACCTACATATGGTGGGAGCGCGCCCGCTTCATGAGCCAGGAGGTCAGCCTCCCGCTGCCCCAGTGACTGGAAATCAAGCAGATCGGGACAACCAGTTTCATTAAACTGTACAAAGTACAAAGCCGCTACCGGGAGACCCTCCCACAGCCAGACTTCCGCTGCGTCTGGTTTTGACTCTCTCTTCTCCTCGCCCGCCCCTTGATTCAAGGGCTACTCATAATGCTTTGGTTTCAGAGTAGGACTAGGAAGGAAATAAAACAATAATGAACGTGGGAAAATGACCATTCTAAATACTACAGTACTGCCTTCAATTCCTGCTCAAAGTCGCTGCAAAGAAACTGAGCCACCGCTGCGCCATCCCCTGGCTGCCTGCCGGGAAAAGACCTCACTTTCACTTTCGTTTGTCTCCGTTAGGGAGGGAGAAGACAGACTTTGATGGGTTGGAGAGGATCCTCAGTAAGTCGTCACCCTTGAGGCGCTTGTGTCTTTGCGTTAGAGCCCCAAGTTCAGGCGAGGCTTTAATTTCCCCTTGGAAACGAACATTCATTTTCTTTCGGGGTGGTGCTGCAAGTGAACAATATCGCATTTTATCCTTACAAGCAATAACACAACGTGGAATAAAAGGTAAGCTGTTGAAATTCCTGCATCACAGGGGGTTGGACTAGATAGATGACCCTTGGGACCCCTTCCAACTCTACAGTTCTGTGATTCAATGAAAAGAAAACAATGACACATGTCAATGTGGAAAGCCAGTACTGAGATGTCTATGTTACGCAGGTAAGTATAATTGCATTTCTTTATTTAATCAGGAAGACCATATTTCTCTCCATGGTATGGGAAAGGAGTAGGTTGTTATCTGAAACATAAGAAATGATGATCCACCAGGTAGCATAGAAATGTTCCACAGGTTCTTCATCTTTCATAAGGCAAAGTTTATGAGTTATCTTCTTGGTGATTACAGTATTCCATATGTTTTCATACCATGGTTGAAGGGATAAGCCACGAAGATTCTCCCACTTTTGAGCTATAGACAATCTAGTGGCTACCATGGGCGTAGCCAGGATTTTGGCTACGCCCATGGCTGCTGCTAAGAATCAAGTTAATGAGCATTTATTTTAAGGTGAAAAAGAAATATGAATTCTGTGGTGTTCTGCTGCAGTGCCTCTTGTGGACACTGGGGGATTGCAGATCTGGAAGAACCCAGAAAAAAGCATCTTTTCTTATGCTTTGCATTGCTTGGTGCTGCACTTACACACTAGGATGCCTCCCTTCTCTGTTTGGTTTCTTGGGGCCAACTTTGTGTTACCTGGTCAGGTTTGGGCTAAGCTAAGATGTGGCAGCGGCAGACAGAAAAGTGGATTTCACACATCAATTTTACGGCTATGTTCTGGCTGCTGTGGTTATTTCTTTATTTTATTTATTTATTAAATTTGTATACCTCCCTTCATCCGAAGATGTCAAGGCAGTTCACAGCATAAAAGATCAGTCCCATTTACCTTGATATTATTCCTTTTGAGTAGACATGCACAACATTGCACTGTCCATTGCACACACATACTGTACACCCACATGAGGGCAACGTTTTAGTTCCACTGTATGCCTCTGAGTGCCATTGGTTGGGAATTGCAGGTGGGAGAGTATTGTTGTGTTTGGGTCCTGCTTGCAGGCTACCCACGAAAATCTGTTTGGCTAGTTTGAGAACAGGATGCTGGAATAGATGGGCCAATGGCTTGTCTTGCAATTCCCAACAACTGGTATTCAGAGGCACGATGCTTCTGGCTGTGGAAGCAGAAAGGAATTTACTCAGCTTTTTTACTCAGGGCTAGTCACACTTCTTTGAAGTCTCTCAGCCCCACTCACCTCACAGAGTGTTTGTTGTGGGGGAGGAAGGGAAAGGAGAATGTTAGCCGCTTTGAGACTCCTTAAGGGGAGTGAAAGGCGGGATATCAAATCCAAACTCTTCTTCTTCTTCTTCTTCTTCTTCTTTCTGATGGGCAGGAGCAGAATGAGTGCCTCAAAGAGCCTTCCTGAGATCGACGAGGACCTGTACTCTCGCCAATTGTAAGTCTTGCGACACATTACATAAAAGCATTCTAGCATAGCTGAAAAGGGATATCGACCAGGATCACCTCCACACCTCTACTGTTTTTTTGAGAAGGGATTCCACAGCATACTGGGAACTTAGGTTTGTCCAATTAAAGTGGATTAAAACACCCGGGCCCAAGAAATCCACTGTAACAACAATCAGACTTTTTGCAGTTAGGAACGTGATGGGGAAATACACTAAAAAGTGTGGAATAATGATTGACTGATGGGAGGGAGCAAAATACACTACAGTCACTACCACAACCAAATCAAGATGGATGCTCATTCACATATAACCTCCCCAGAAAAAAGCAGAACTAATTTTAAGCAAAGAGCAGACATTGTATAACCTGCATGCCATCCTTGTGCATGGAGATCGGGATGCATGCTCAATAAACAGATTGTCGGGAGGAGGCCTGGCTGGCTGAAAAGGATCACAGTGCTATGACTGGGGCAAGATGTTACAGAGTGAGCAGTGATATGAATGTATTTTGTTGGGGAAATATGGCAGACTAAGCTGAACTAAGGTATGTGTGATGGGGGCCACATATCCTACTTGGCAGAGAACAGTCCTCTAGTTCAGTGTTTCCCAACCTTGGGCCTCCAGCTGTTTTTGAACTACAATTCCCATCATCCCTGACCACTGGTCTTGCTAGCTAGGGATGATGGGAGTTGTAGTCCAAAAACAGCTGGAGGCCCAAGGTTGGGAAACACTGCTCTAGTTGATTGTGTTGCTGTTTGAAGAGCCATCCAGGCTAATAGTAAAGACCTGAAGTTGCCTATCATCAGTTAGTACCTGGCTAGCAGACCAAGCAAGCACGCAAGTCACCTTGGTCTAGTTAAATTCTGAGGGAGGATAGCTTTGTTTCAAACTGTGAAAGGATTCAATCAAGCTGTGTCAAATGACAAAAATAATAAAAAAAAAATGTATGCTTCCTTACTTCTTAATACCCACTGGTGGTGATATGTTAGTCATTCAGCCACTGCTGTATTCCATACATTCCAATACCATAAGTCCAGGTCCAAACCCTCCACTGTCTTCCAGCTTTGTACAATGGCTAACTGCACTGCAATACCCGGGAACAGTAACAAATCTTTGGATGCATGTGTAAATTGTAATTTTCAAACATGTTCAAAAGGAACAATGAGAAATCCACCAGCTCATTCAAAATGATTGACATTTCTTGCATTGCTGCAGACCAAAAATGTACCACTGTTGGACATTGCCACCACATATGCATGTATGTGCCCTTACTCCTGTAATGCCTCCAGCAGTTCTTGGATGTTCCCACAATCATATGGGAAGGCTGTACTGGGGCTCTGAACCATAGGTGTGTTTATGGTTTTAAGAGTGTTTTCCAGAACATGCCCCCTTCTAGTATTCCACTGTTTATTGGTGATCAGGGCAGCTGGAAGATGCCTTTTAAAGAATCTGGGGCTGGAGCAGCAAGATTCTGCTTCTACTCCCATCGTACACCCCCCCCCAATTACTTCTAAAATTGAATCTGCACATATAAATTAGCATGTGTACATTTCATGCAAATCTGTGTCCTCTTGTTTGTGACCCATTTCCTCTTTGGGGGTAATATGTTAGTGACTACCATAGCTGAGGTGGGGGCAGGTACAAGTGGCTGGCAAGGGGAAAGTAGAGGTGGGGTTTAAGGGAAGCTGGTGAGGGAATTCTACTGTCCAGGACTTCATAACTCACCGTATTTCAAACACAGAGCTGTGCTTTCCCCCCTAGCTATGTTCTGGGCTATGAGGCCATGCAGAAGATAGTGGGAGCAGCTGTGCTGGTCTCTGGAATGAAGGGCCTGGGGGTGGAGATTGCCAAGAACGTCATCCTTGCAGGAGTGAAATCTGTCACTGTCCATGACCAGAGTGAGACTCAGTGGAGTGACCTTTCTTCACAGGTATGCAGCCCAGGGTGAAATCCTATATCTGCTCAATGGTGTTCTGAGTTTACATGTGTAGGATTGAACATGTGAGAGGCTTTGCCTAGCAAACAAGGAAATGTGGCACAAAGTCCTCTTCCCTTGCTGGCACTGTTAACATACCCTATGGCTTTTTTTCTATCATTTTTTCTATCATTGTTGCATTCCTCTGGGCCATCCCCCCCACTTCCTTAATATATATTTGCAGCAGTGC